TTGTGTTTATAGGCACTTTACTTCCCGTTTTGGGTGCTAATGGGTCTTATAGTTATATTTCTGCACATTCCCTTAACGTGAATCACTGTAAGGTATCAACTATCAGACTAACAATACAGACCTTGATTAATAATTGCAGCACAAACGAACTAACTTCAGGAGCTGAAAAATGGGCTCATAGTCTCATTGATAAAAATGTAAAAGTAAATTAAATGAATGCCAAAGATATCAAAGTTTAAAAACAAAACTTTAGCAAAACATTTCAATAAAACTCAGACTGCTACACTGTCAAATTAGGCATGCGTCCGATATATCAAAACGAATCCAAAATCCGATTTCAAACACAAATCGATACCGAACGATTTCTCAACAAGAAAATCCGATTTCAGAAATCTAACCGAACCAAAACGCTAGCGATCTAATACCGTAAGTATCCAAATGTAAATCGGATTCGAAATTCGTGCTTTCGTTTTCGGAAGTCAGATTTCGTGCTCGGAAGTCCGATTTCGATTTGCTGTTTACGGAAATCTATTGCTCATCTCTGAGGCGGGATTATTTATCACTGAAAAGATATGTCGTCTAAAAACATCAAAAGTCGAGCAACTTACATTTTTGGACGCTAACCTGAAGTAATTAGGTTTGATTTTGTAAATGGTTTGAAAAATAATAAAAACAAACAGAAAAACAAAAAAAAATACTAAAAAAATATGTAAAAAGAAATCATTGTATATAAGTCGATTTTTAAATGCGCCGCAAAAGTTTTACTCTTAACCGTAAACATAACTTTTCTGCTAGTCCTAAGCGAAAATCTACGAGTATTCTTGCTTCCTACAATTAATTGTTTGTGATTGTCGTTAGCTAATAAAACCAAATCATAACACAAACTAGTGAATTGGCTAAGTTTGGCACATCTGAAATCGGATATCTAAAAACGGATTTTAAAATCGATTTTGAAATCTGAAATCCGATAAATATCCGTTTGCGTTCAAAACCAAAAACGCCCATGTCTATGTCAAATAGTGTCAAGCTCTGTCCTGTTCCTGTCAAGCTGTCTCAACTCTCAACTGACGTTTAACAGACAATCTTGGACGAAGATTCTCGCTAAAATCCAATAATGGTTTAAGAGTTGGATAATTATCTTTCTTTATATTATTCAAATTAATGCAAGATAAGTTATATTTTAAACGCACTGAGTTATAAAGTTAAAAGCTAATAGAATTACTTGGAAAAACTGGCTAAGTCACATTCATTACATTTTACAGTAAAAGCAATTAAAGTTACGACAGAATTTTATGACTAACTCAGAAAATCGTTTCCGTCATGTTAGCATGTTAGCGTACCCCACATCGCGTTCGCGGTTGTTACTTATGCCAATAAATAGGCTTGGATAGTATTATTTACTTGCGCTATTTATCGCACCATACATTTAAAAGTAGTTAAATCACTATCTACTGCTGAGGTAGAGCTTGCCACTATAGTGATAACGCTACCAATTTTAGAGGTCTAGAAAAGGTTTTCAGTTCGCTAGTTTCGAATGAAATTCTTTGCTCCTCCGCAAAAGCTAGAATCAAATAGCGATTCTTGCCTCCCAGCGCATCCTCGTATAGAAGGTTTTAAGAGCGCCTAATCAGGGATGTGGAGCAGATATTGCGCAGAGTTCTAGGACGTGCTTCAATCTCCTTATGTGAACTCAACACCATGCTTTGCGATTGTGAAGCTACTATTTACAGTAGACCGTTGACTTATGTCAGCAACAGCCAGGACGAGCTGCAACCTCTTACACCTACAATGTTTATGCGGCCTAGTAACACGTTGCAGATCTGGATGTGGCCGATAACAAATACCTCAACGCGTGTGCAACATATAGTCAGGCATTGCGAAATGCATTTCGGCAGCGGTTTAGGTGCAAATACTTGAGTGCTTTATTGCAGCCGAAGAAACATAGTTTACATCGCGAGCTCTGGCTTGGGGACATTGTGCTAACTGAAATCAATGACCGTAGAACTGGACCAACTGGCTGTTGGGTCTATTAGAAGAAGTTTACTCTGGAGTCGATGAAATTACAAGGATGGCAAAAGTCTGCACGGCTTCTGGCGAGAAGGTTAGACCGCTACAGCGATTATATCTTCTTGAGGTATCTTCTGATCAACCTGAACTTTCGAACCAGCCGACTGACACTGATCAACCCACGTCCATACCTGACATTGACATCTTCGATACTGAAAAGAGATAGACTGACTGAAAAGAGATACGTTCGGATAGACTTGTAAGGTTATCGGTGTATCTCAAGGATTTATTAAGTACTATTTAGGTTGTTACATTCATTACATTACATGTGTGGCGATTTCTACCGCATAAAAGTTGATCCATGTCACCATACAGCCAGTGTTTTTCACCATACGGACATTCCGTAGGCACTGGCACATTCGAAAATAAGTTTTTAATTGATTTTATAATGAGGTATGTTCTTTTTATATTTTCGGTTGGAATTTTATGTGGGTTTATAGTTGTCATTGTAAAAAGACATTTCAAGAGAATATTTCGTTCTTATATATTGTATTTTTGTAGTTGTGCATATTTCTGAATATAGTACTCATAAGTTAACCAAGTATTGCCGTGTTATTATTCCGCTAGTCAAAGATTTAAATCGTAAGATATACCCTGACACCGAAAAACTGTGGCCATATTTTGCAATGACCTTATGATGATGGCCGTTTTGACACATTACAATAGTGAAGTGAAAGTACTTATGTTACTCTTTGAGTGAAAGTCAATTTTTGAAGTTATACTTCTTTAGGCGCGTTATGAAAAAATGATGAGAGTGAAATTTTAAGATGCGCGCGCATCACTGTAACACAAAATTTTAACAGCATGAAGTTGGTCGCTAAAGCGACCAACTTCATGCGTTACTTTTGTGTTTACCGCACATTAAGAAAATCTACCAACAAAATAGAAATAGAATCTCTATTTAGTGGGTGCTAACGACTGCATTGTGAAGGCCTATCAAAAGTATTTATTAATCTGGAACAACGGAACCAAAGCGCAATTCAGGAGACTACAGCGCCATCTCTTGACCATTGGTGTAGTAGAACCAAAAACCACATCTTTATTTTTTGTAATAAAGTAACAGTTATAGGTATTCATATTTATAATATCAAAAGTATTTATTAATCTGGAACAACGGAACCAAAGCGCGATTCAGGAGACTACAGCGCCATCTCTTGACCATTGGTGTAGTAGAACCAAAAACCACATCTTTATTTTTTGTAATAAAGTAGCAGTTATAGGTATTCATATTTATAATATTTATCCACATGTTTCTAGTTTGTATATTCGGAATACGTGTTTGAGTTTCATACAAGTGCGAATCACATATGTTCTAATAAATTATATTCAGTAGCGATTTTAATTGAATATTTTGATTATTTATTTATTTTTTCAAATTAAAACTGAACTTTATTGACTGTGTCCTTTTCCAGACTTTTTATTAATTTATTGTAATTAATTATTTGCATGCAATTAAAAACTAATTTTAAACGATGCCAAAGAAGGATAACTTCTCACGCGCCTACATAAGTACACGCACCCATTTTTTGTTTATCGCAAAAATAAAGTAATGCTATTGAATGCGAGTCTCATCTATAGATATATTTTTTTGGGTATTTTAACCAACATTGCAAACAGTAGCTGATCAAAAGGATTGAATCAAACGAAAAATATAAATGTCTACATAAGCTCAGCGATCCTATGTGCGGCGATCGTTTTGATTTATTTATTATACATTTCGAATTTAGAAAAATACAAATGCTTACAACTAAGTTGTGAATAAGTACATTGCAATTATATTATCACTAGCTGACCAGGCGAACTGCGTACCGCCTTTATAACAGTCGATCTTGAATATCTAGCTTAATTAAATTTAGGGCTTTACAAACGAAATAAAACAAACAAATCTAAATATAAAACAAAGTCGTGCTAGTTAGAATACTTATAACTCAAGAATGGCTGGACCGATTTTTATGAGAATTATGATTTATTGGAATCCTCTCAGCCCCGAATAACAGAATAGCTATTTAAATGTAGGAAAAATCACAGAAGCAATGGCGGAAAATCGATTGTCATTATATAAATTAGGTTTGGTATTCGGCCTTCTTCCACAATTGAGAGATCCCGTCACAAAAACACAAAGCCTCTTTGTACCTTCTGCAAATCTGTTACTACAATAAAGATAGAAAATGATTGCTTTAGAGAGTGATATTGTGATTTAAAGAAAATACTGTAATCATAAGACAAGTTGCAATACTAGCCGATATTTTGGTAAGGAAACGATGGATATAAAATTCAACACTATACTGCATCAATCATGAATAAAAATATCAATATCGCAGTTTTCATTTCATTATAACATAAATTTTACTTCATTTGGTTGAATTTTCCAAAAACTAATTAAAACCTATCTTTATACAGTTTTCTATTGACCATAAATAATAAACAGTGACAATGGTGTCAATTCTGACACGATTCTCTAAACCTAAACTTAAATTTGACAACAGTGTATCCTTGTCATTTTCTATACAGAATGAAAAGGAGAGATTGATGTTAAATTAAGTTATAAGTTTAGAGAATCACGCCAGAATCGACACCAATAAAGTTACTTGCGTAGTTACCGAACCTGCCTTATAATTTTCACCTAAATTCTCAAAAGAAGTATATCATCATAAAACTAAAAATATCAGTCTCTCCTTTTCATTTGATAAACTGTTGTCAAATTAAGGTTTAGGTTTAGAGAATGGTGTCAGAATGGACACATATGTCTATGAGATGGACACTAAGGCAAATACTATAGAAACTCTACCGTGTTCTATAGTATTTGACTGGGGCGATGGTCCACTTTGAAAAAGGGTCCAACAAGCCTCGGTACTGTACCTCTCTCTAGGATCGTTTTGTTGGTTACAGTGATTAGTCTTTTTGAGTCCATGACTTCAATGAACTTCCGCTGTCAGTTCCGTTAAATCATCAAAGTCTGTATTCTGTGGTAGTGTCATTTTGTCAAATCGACGAATCTTTGCAATTCGCAATTTTGTGTGTTATTAATCACAAAAAAACAATTTGTTTCTCAGTTTGGTTCCATAATTTGTGAAGTTTTACAGAAATGGTAATATTTCTCCTTTTATGTGCGATCATGGCAAACTCCATCATCTTATTTATGATGGATGACTAATACTTAGTTCCCGTAGATTATGGCCTGGCTTATTTAAATTTTCAGACTGAACAACAAATGGATTGCGCTTTGGATCTTATGCGGAGGTTGCCGCCCCAACAAATAGAGAAAAACCTTACAGATTTAATAGATCTCGTTCCGAGTTTATGCGAAGATTTGTTGTCGTCTGTTGACCAGCCCCTGAAGATTGCGCAGGATCGAAGCAACGGCAAAGACTATTTACTTTGTGACTACAATCGTGATGGTGACTCGTATCGGTCTCCGTGGTCAAATACATATGATCCTCCCTTAGATGATGGATCAATGCCATCAGAGAAGCTGAGAAAGCTCGAAATCGAAGCTAACTATGCATTCGACCAATATAGAGAAATGTATTTCGAAGGTGGAGTGAGCTCTGTGTATTTATGGGACATGGATCATGGCTTTGCAGGTTTGTGAAATACTATGTTTCACATTATATGACTGTATTGTGTTATCTTTACTGAAAATGATTATCTTGCAATTTGTTTGTAAAGTGAAAGTATTGATTATTTAAAGTTATTATTTATTGTGACTTAATTAAAAGTTGTGAAATTTACAGTGTAGTAAAGTGAATGCTGTACTTTAACCAATGCTAATTGTCTAATGTGATCCATCGCTTTAGTTTACTATTTGTTAAGTGTTATCAATGATTAAGTCGTTTGTTAAAGAAAACAAGTTTTTGATGATTACATGTGTAATGCCCTCAGTCAGGAACTGGCATATTCTGTATTTATCTTCACTTTTCTGTTCAGCTTATAAGGTATCATTATCAACCTATTAAAGTCCCGACTGCAGGGGCACTGGCCTTCGCTATGTACAGAATAGGCAAATTGGGTTGTGTTTACCACGCAGGTGTGAGTGCTGATGACTGCAGATGCAGCAGGGACCAATGGCTTCCGAAGCACAGAGGAGCTAAATCCTTTGGCCAAACATTGCCAAAGTTGCTTAATTTTCACAATCACAGCCTGAATTTTTGGGATTGATTTCAATCCCAAATAAAGGTGTATTTCATGTCATGATAGCATAAACATATATTTATGATGCAGGTGTGATCTTGATCAAGAAAGCAGGTGATGGGTCTCAAAAAATCAAAGGCTGTTGGGATTCTATCCATGTAGTGGAAGTGGTGGAGAAGAGCTCTGGACGAAACGCCCATTACAAGTTGACCTCAACTGCTATGCTCTGGCTGCAGACAAACAAAGAGGGAAGTGGAACCATGAATTTGGGTGGCAGTCTGACACGTCAGGTCAGTTACACAAATTATGAGCTATAAATTTAGCTAATTGGATGTTGTTAAATGAAAAGGATCCAACCCACAACCTTATTGAAAATTATTTTAGTATACCAAAGTACTTCATAAGATCAATACTATTAAAACACAACAAAGATACAAGTCAAAAATTTAAGTGTCATATGATTTTGTATTTGTATTTCGTAAACAGATAAAGTTGAGAATCTAAGAAAAAATATAATCTGAAATTAAAAAAATGATATCTCAAAACTAAGTTTAGATAGGTTGGATCCTTTTCACTTAACAATGTCCAATTAAAAATTGAAAATCTGAGAAAAATTAAAATTAATAAATGTAACACTTCACACAATTTCAATATTGTTTCAAATAGCATTATGAGGATGGACCTTGAATGGATTAGCTACACCCTGGTGCTTATTTACAGTATATTTTTGTCAATTGATATGATTTAAATTCAAGTGGATCATAACTCTGTACATTGCAATTGTTTAAAGGTTATTGTGATAGCTTACTAATGCCTCCTCTACACGTCAACGGATACGTCCACAGACGTTGACAGGTGGATCACCACGAGCCGACTATATGTCTGATGACATCTGTAGGTTATTCCATCCATCCTTCCATCAGCCTTTCTCCGTCCACTGTAGGACATAGGCCTCCCCCATAGAACGCCACAATGCGCGGTCCTGCGCTATCCGCATCCAGCGGCTCCCAGCACATTTGACGATGTCGTCAGTCCACCGTGTTGGGGGCCGCCCCACGCTGCGTCGCCCGGTACGTGGTCGCCACTCGAGGACATTTCTTACCCAACGGTTGTCAGATCCTCGAGCGATTTGGCCTGCCCATTGCCACTTCAGCGTGCTAACTCTTTGGGCTATATCGTACACACCGGTCCTTCTACGAATGTCCGTATTTCGGATCTTATCACTTAGGGAAACAACGAGCATAGCCCTCTCCATAGCACGCTGCGCGACTTTTGACAAACCCAACTCATATAAAATTTCAAGCACCCATTAACTTTCATCTGCAACTTCAATATACTGATGCATCTTGAGACGTGTGGACAGAGGCCGGGCCTTTAGCAAACGGATTGGTGGCAGACGCATCTGCTGACATTAAATACTTACCAGAGATGAGCAAATAACCCCTTCTACATGTAGAAGAAAAAGTGAAGTTGGTATCTGTCGACGTGTAGAGAGGAGGCATTAGAGTTAAATTAATTTATTTATTGCTACCCCTTTTCACTTATAAAAAATATACAAATAATGCATTAGCTTCTTGATTTTCAATAATGCATTTGTGCATTTACAGGCAGAGCAGGACTCTGCAGTGAGCGATGTCACTCCACACATCATCAATATTGGCCGCATGGTTGAAGATATGGAGAACAAAATTAGGAATACACTCAATGACATTTACTTTGGTAAGTTTTAATTGACAAACTGTTGTTACAACTGTAGTGTTCCTTCCTTTTTCTCAAATGGTCTTGAGTGCGCCTGTAAGAACATCGCTAGGATTAACCTCTTTGTAACTACATTCAGTATTTACATCGCAGAGGAGACAGATTTTTGGTCACGTTATCACAGATTAGTCCAAGCAAATTTGTTTTTGTTTTATTAATGTTTTATATTTTTTTTATTTATGGTTTTGTCTATCCATATATGATATTTTGTTCCAAGGACTTAAAGAATGGAAAAATAAACATTTTATGTTTGTATAAAAACACAGGAGGTTATTGTGAAAAACACTATGAGACTACAACATGACAGTGTCATATTAAAAATAATAAAAAGGGCTTTTATTGTAGGAAAAGAAAAAAAAATATTTAAAACAATAGGTTTTAAAATAATATAAAATTAAAAAGTACTCGGGTGCCAGACCTACCTCAATAGACTCGCTGGAAGGGCATTCAACTATTAATGGGTTAAAATGAAACCCATACTCACTTTGAAATTTCTAACTGTTTGCCAATGATTTTTCTTGAATTTAGAAGCTAGCTCCAATTATCATATTATTTTTACCTGAATGTAATACATAATGGAATAATTTTCTCATACCCGTTGTTCGGTTTCAAACGTATTGAATGCGTTAGATATGATAATGTAATATTGCATCCGCTTACCCACCTTTTCCTATCCCTTGGACGATTTTTTATTGTAATACGAGGGTAGACAGGAAGTATCTGTCAGCTGTCTGTTACAACTACACTACCATGCGCCATAGCGATCGGTCGACTTCGAAAAACCTCCGAACCAAATTACCTAGCTTCGCGCGACCGTTGTTAAACTACCACAAAGGAAAATCAGCAAAATCACCAGATTACGTGAAGGAGAGTCAGGCCTAACTCAAGATCACATTCCCACAACATCCGGGAATCTTACGGAAATACAGACAGACCGGCACTTCTCAAAAAGCTATCGACAGCTAAAGCTAAGACAACAAAATTTCTTTCTGTCCCGCACACGGGATAAATTCCTTGTTATAATAAATTAACATGCGCTTATTGTCCCCGCTGTATCTTTGTAATGAGTAGAATATATGTAAAGGTAGAGGCCTCGCTTCCTTGGTATGACAACAGGTTATTTCATGGTCCAATATAAAATTTACAATAGTAAAAAAACGCCTATGGCTGAAAAGAAACAGTCCGCAGATTAGCACATGGCACAAAACAAAACGTATAAAAACAAAAGAAATTTCGAAGGTTCTTACTGTTTTTTAGAGAAATTAAACAAACATGCCGACAGCCGTCTCCACGGCAAACTATGTCTCCTGCTAAAACAAACTCTACATGTAAATTACAGAAATATTTCAAGGAAAACACATTTTGAATGAAGAAAAACACTTACCTTTAAAAATAATTGATAATGATCAAAAGGAGTAAAGAAAAATTTGATTAATAAATTACATGTTGTGGTTAAGAAATTGTATATGTCGTATGTGGTAGCACGCGCACTATCTATTTCCGACTCGGCATTGAAATGGTTAGAGATGTAACGACTCGACTTTTCAAACCGGTTCAAACCGGTTTGAGCATGGACCGAGTTGAATCGGTTAATGTCTTCGTAAACCGGTTCTACCGTGGCATTCGTTCGTATCGCGCTGCGCGCATGCGCGCCTGTCAATTCTTGTTTATGCCGCCATCCACAAATCGCGTGCGGCTCCTGACGTGCTTTACCGACCCTAATAAAACTTGACCGACCAATACGAACCGACTTACAGCAGCGGATACGGTTCGCTCGCATCGTCAATTTAAATACAACAGCCATAACCGACTTACCGACCGAACCGAAATGAAACGGACTCTGGTAGATTTGACTGACTTGACGGTGTAATTTTGTTTTCATTATTATGTAATATGCGACGTAATTGCCCAGCTTCTAAAAAATAGACCAAATATTATTCCTAAATAGTTGTAAGAAAACTTTTTAATTAAGTTGTTTGTACCAAATAAAGATTTTACAAAAATAAGTTACGTATTTATTATACTGTTGATTATTAAAATTGTATTTTATTCTCAAAGTTAAGAAGTACGGTTTTATGTAATTAATAGAGTTTATATATTTTTTTGTAATTTTTCAAACACGGTATTACATAGATATTTGTTTATTTTTATTTTGACATTTTTAATTCTGATTATTGTTATTTGTTTTCATATTTTAATTGTTATTTTTCAATTACCTTTAAATATTTGCACGATGTAATCTCAATAAAATATGTAGAATTAAAAAAAAAATAGCACCTGTTGTTTCGTAAGTTTCATTCGTCAACTCGTCAAACGGTTCAAACCGGTTCAAACCGCGGTTTACTGAAAATTTGGCGGTTCGGTTCGGAAACCGATTTGCATGTATTACTAACCGATCAAATCCGGTTTGTCAAAATTCAAGACCGTAACATCACTAGAAATGGTTGCTTTATTGTTTTAGGTAAAACGAAGGACATAGTGAACGGTCTCCGGTCTGTAGTGCCGGCCGATGTGGCCAGACGCACTGCAGCGCTGCAGCACGATTTAGCGTTAGCGCTGCAGCGCAGGCATGTCGCCCGCGCCGACTGAGCTGCAAACGCATGGAGTGTGCAATCGTGAGTCTTCTAGACTTTAAACTTACCTCTTCTATGCTCTATTCAACTTCCTGTAAGATAAAAGGTAAACGAACCATAAAAAGGTTTTTCAAAAGGTTGAATTTTATACTCATATAAAATTGTAATTAGAAAAAGTTTCACTGAAAAGACCTAAAACTAGCAATTCCCAAACTTTGAACGCATTTAAATACTACTAAATTGAAGGGTAGTGATGAAATTAATAATTTACGTGGAAATGTGATTTTTTATTATCAGCTTGGTCAAACTGGCCATCTTTACTTTCGATAAAAAAGTTTTAGGAACATTGGTTTATTTGTTTACCTTTTGTCTCAGTGCCAGAGTAAGTTTAATACAGTATAGTAAATAGATTAATAGCACTGCAGTGCTACAGCACGACTTAGCGTTAGTGGTGCAGCGTAGGCACGTCGCCCGCGCAGACTGAACTGCAAATGCATGGACTTTGCAATCGTGAGATTTTTTAACCGACTTCAAAAAAGGAGGAGGTTCTATGTTCAACTGTATGTTTTTTTAATGTATGTTCACCGATTTCTCCGTCAATTGTGGACCGATTTCCAAAATTCTTTTTTATTCGAAAGAGTGCACTTTCGAGGTGGTCCCATTGGAACCAAGCCAGGATCTGATGGTGGAATCCGGGGAAATCGAGGGAAGCCTTCAAATTTCAAAGGCACGCACGATGTTTTTTATGCATGTTCGCCGATTTCTCCGTCAATTGTGTTATTATTTACTTGGACGATGTAATTATCACTAAAATGGATGAAATAAAAATTTTTTAAACAAAAAATAAAACCGACTTCAAAATCGAAAATCGAACTAAAAAGTAATAGTTATTTATTATACAAGAGTGGAAAGTTCCTTTTTAACCGCGTGCTCGATTTGGATGACCGAGCAAGCGAAGGATTCTAAAGTTGAATCACGAGCGCAGCGAGTGATTCTAAATTAGAATCCTGAGCGTCAGCGAGGGAAACAAACGAGCACAAGGTGAAAAATCTTTCCACTCGAGTGCAATACGTAACTTTTCATCCCACCTCAGCGAGGAAATGACAAAATGAAAAAGAAAACAATTTATAATGACAAAATATTTTTATTTCAATTAAAACACATTAAGATAATCTATAAATTGAAGAAAATAATAAGAAGTAGAAAATAATTAAGAAATATTAAATGTAACGTTGCTACAGTTACTTATGTTAAGTTTAATATTTTTGTTAGGTAATGTTATGTTGGTGTTTGTGAATTGTGCGCTGTTTTGTGGTAAACTACTCGTATCAGTAATTTTAAATAGTTGTGCCGATTCATTGGATTCTATTGGCGTAAATGTTGGCGAGAGAGGGCTATTGTTTCCAATCTTATGGGGGCTCATTTTAGATGTAGAAGGGCGAGACCAAGAATCTGACAGAGGTTCTTTCAGCGTTATGGCCTCCACGATACTATTACAAATTTTTGATTTACTTTGGATTGAATCCTCTATGTATCCCTCTACAACCGAATTAGACTTCCAGCCTCCATGGCGCTTAAGCGATAGAAGATCAGCCCCTGATTCGGCCAAAAGTGTGGCTGAGGTTCTTCTAAAACAGTGACCGGTGTATAACGGGGGTTCTAAAAGTCCGAGAAAAGTTGCTATTTCTCGTGGAATACTGCCAATTTTATTCTGACCCATAGGTTGTCGGATACACTTTCCGTTGCGATATTGTAGAAAAAATCGTTCAATTGGGGTGTTAGAAGGACGTAAAGCTTGATATTTCTGAACAATGTTTACATATTCCTTGCGAATAACGAAGTTGCGGTCTTTTTTTGTCTTGGTATTTAGTACATTAATTAATAGCAATTCATCAGAATTATGAGAATATTTTGATACGTTATTGACATTAAGTAGTGTAAGTTCATTTGTTCGACATGCTCCGGTTATACCAATAATAAGAACAACCTGTAACAAAAGAAGTATTTATAATCGTAAATAAATTAATCAAATTAAAAATATTGTAAGTACTATGTACAATTTTATCAACAACAAAAAATTACACGTATTGACTTACTTTTGCCGCTAAATATACGGAATCAGGTGCTTCATTAATAAACTTTGCAATTTCAGATGCTGTGAAAACCTTCGATTTTTTTGGTTTATAACCAGATGAGGCTCTTTTTAAAAATGCCACTAATTTATGATAGGTGTCGATATGAACGTCTTTCTTCATCTTAATTGTTAATTTTAGCATTGAATACGTACTCCATAGCGTGCTTGCTTTCTTGGTCTCAGATAATTCTATAAAATATGCCAGCAAAACGTTTTCGGAGAAAGTTTTTGCTCCTTTAGCTAGTCGCCACATGTTAAATATATCGTACTGTTTCAAATACTTCTCTCGTGATTGCTGAGGGAGAAGGCTCATTTGCGCATTATTAACTGTTTCAGTTAACTCAGTTGGCGTTAGATAAACTTCATCGTCGCTAATGTCACTCATTTTAGTTGATTTTTTTGTACAGTTTTTAGGTTATGTTAATTATATTAAGCAATAAAACGTGAAAAACTAGAATGGCGCGAAGCACGCAAATAAAACAAAGAAACCAAGAAGGTTCCAAATTTAAATTTTTTCACAATTTAAAAAGTTCTAATCATAAATTTGGCACCATAGAGGTTACATTAAATAGGTTTAATGACGTTTTGAATTTACAATTATATTGAGTACTCATTATATGTGATGTTCTAAATTCAAATCTACTTTGCCGCTCAAGCGAATAAAATAGAATTTTCCAGCCAGATTTCGAAGCGCAAAATTACACTTTCCGAGGTGGTGGGATGAAAAAAATATTATCTGGTTCATGATTTGGAAGTCCGGCTGGTCAAGATTGAAAGACGTATTATTACCGATAAGAAACGTAAATCTATTTAAAATTTGAATCTTGACCCCGCCCGACTTCCAAATCATGAACCAGATATTATTTTTTAAATTTTAGTTCCATTTTCTATTTTGAAGTCGGTTTTATTTTTGGTTTATATATTTAAACTTACCCAGTAAATACATTGCAGCGCTGCAATCCTGCAACCTTAGACATATAAAATCGTTATTAAAACAAGTTACATTAAAAAGACGTAAAACTAGCTATTTGGGTCAACAAAACTCAAGAAAAAGAATGCAAAACAAAAACAAGTTAAAGATACCTCCAAGTCATCTGAAATTTATTACGAAAAATGTAGACATTTGTATGACAATTAAAATATATAATAAATTACCATTACACATTATGAGCATGCCTGCAGAAAATAATAAATTCAAAAATAATCTGAATAAGTGGCTCGTGGAACAAAATTTTAAATACTATGATAATGAATACTTTGATTATAAAGGTTAATATTATATGGATATGACATTTTACAATAAAAATTGACTCAGTTGCTACAAATTAATTATAAATACATTATTTAAAATCTGATACTATTTTTTATTAAAAATTGACTGCTATGTATTTAAAAAACGTTTAATAAAATGTAATTGATTGAATTATGAGATTCACTGTATTAAAATTAATGAGATTGATATTTAGTAGAATTACCTGTATTAAATTATTTGCATGCCTACATGATTAAGGTCAATACTGTTTGCTTTAATCACATAACCTAATCATCAATTGTACACAGTATTAGCAAATAAAGAATCATTGTATCCAAAATTTAAACGCATTATAATACATATTACTAACTAACTAAATTGAAGGGTAGCGATAAAATAAATAATTTACGTGGAAATGTGAACATTTGTTATCAGCCTGGTTGGTTACACTGCCCATCTTCTTTATTTACTCTCGATAAAAAAGATTTAGAAACATTGGTTTATTTGCTTACCCTTTGTCTCAGAGGAAGTTATATAACGCATAGTAAATAGATTGATAGCACTGCAGCAAGACTTAGCGTTGCTGACCGAACAGTATATGTTGCAAATATCATTCTTTTAACTAAAAGTCTGAGAAGAATAAATATACTTGCTTATAAATTGATAATACTTGTTTAGGGGTAATAAGGGAAGTGCGAAAGTTTGAGAAATGATTTTTTTATTTATTTTCCAGATGAGGTGGTACCACTGGGTCATAAACGAAGATCGAAATTCAATTAGAATAAACTAACTAAATAAGTAAATATTTATAATTACTCACTGATAACACAGTGAGACGATTCTAAATGCTCGTAAAGATTTGAATGAGAAATTCTAAAATTAATTTTATCTACTCAAGATTCGTTAGTAGGTATGCACAATGGTGCTTTATAAGAATGTCCATAGGTACTTTAAATTGTGATTCTTTACACATTATGCTCCAGATTTGGATACGTTTTATGTAATATGATCAAAATGTGCTTGTTTGAAAGAGGGTTTCTCAAATATAAATAAAACTTGGTTATTGAAGTTAAATAGAAGAAAGATTATTATATTTCAATAGGTTTCACACTTTAAAGATTAGGTGGTTCTCATTGGTCGTCAACGATTTATGTCATAACATGAGTTTTGTAGATGTGATCGAATTTAAATTCTGTATTTAGGTAAGCATAGAATGACATCTTAGTAGTTATTCTAGGTAGCCCTTATCAACTAGGTAACAGTATGTAACAAACAAACATTAACGAACATTTCAATGACGACTGCAGTGAAAGAGATTGACCATTTTAGGTGAAAATTTAACACACCTTACACTGGATTTTTTCAGTGCACACTTTGTTGAGCAGTATATTTACGCATTTCGATCAAAGATCCAAGATAATAGAAAATCATAATTTATAATTTACTAACGTTAATTTGAGATGTTTTTCGCCCAAGAAGCCCATCTCATCGATATGCCATTGTGTTATGTTTATGCTTTACTATTAATATTTTGTATTATTGTAAATTAAATACATTATTAGATATGTTGATGATTATTTCCTATCCCAAAGGGGTTTATAAGAAAACTATTTATTACAATTTGGCATACCAACTCTTATTCGAATTATATGTATTTTCTTATGCTGGAAATGTCTGGAAATAGATAAAGAACGTATAATTCGAACACAAATCCGATTATGTCGATTGTAAATAAGAAGATTAGGTGAATACCACAAATCAGATCCTTGTATTTTTTAATTTAGTGATGTTACTATAAGAGATCCAATAATTTATTCATACTAATATTTTGTTGTGAATGCAGCAAGCCAATAAATCTTGTATTTATTTCATAATAGCGAACAATCTAGATTGGCCTCTCTAAATAAATTTATATCTGTATAAGTTGGAGTTTCTTTTTATTACGATTGAAATATAGGTACCTCACGTAATATTCGTTTGGTTCCGAGTAGTAATCATTTTTCTACTTGAAAGAGATTGGTCTTTCTTAATGCTAAAACGACGACGCAGGCAAAAGCACAGAAGACAGCCTATCGATTTTTTTTGAGGGTGTATGCTGTTGGTCGGAGATGACCTTTACAGCGTTACCGGATTTGGGGACGATGCGATCCTAAGGGGACCTCAAGCCGACAATTGGCGAGTGCCTCTAGAACCTGGGGGTAATTACCCCTCCGGGAGTAAATCAGCCATACTTCGGGGGTAACAAAGAACCTAATTATTTGGTCAAATCTAAATAATAAGAAAATACTATATAATAATACTACTAAATAGAGCATGCGCTCCTTCTTGCTAGCGAGCCCGCGGGGTGCTGAGTGTGGGAAGCGGGGCGAGATTTTCTCCTGATGATGACATTATCAGAGACGAAGTTGTAGCGGCCAAATTGGAATTTCTTGGACTGATGATAACATTTTAAAGTCGGGGTAAAATCTGTTTTCCTAATAGGTTACAGGGGTAGCAGTATTGGAAAGGTTACGAAACACTGCTCTAGAAGTATTTTAGGCGGATAGCATCTCCCCATTAGGGAAGTCTACTCTCAGTCTGGCGCTTCTAGATCACTCGAACCTGAGGGGGTTGGCTCGACTAGTCGGCGTCTCTGAGACTCGGACCTCGGCTCTAGTTAACCGTTGTCTGCAGTGCTTCACGTAGCGCTGCTCTATGAAATGACATGAAACAGCATGCGAAGCGGACGTCCTCGGGGTTTAAACGGGGTGCAAAATAGTTGAAATTAAAAAAATCGTCTCTGTCCAAGTTTTTAGATGGGATTTTTCTTTACTACTTACTTAGATACATTTTTTTTTGTCTCCGATTAATAAGTAAGTCTAATTTTGTAAGGCTGCTGGCCACCCTGCCATAATTGATGTCATATTTTTAATGTGCGGCAGTTTTTATCGTTTACTCAATCGCTATGGTAAAGGTCAGTAAGTCCAGACATGCATGATATTCGTGAAATCGTGGTGAACTTATTTTACCAATTTATGATTGAATCTTCTTGAAATAAAATACCTAATATTGTAATGAAAGATGAACAGATTGATTATCACTGCTTTAGTTACCTATTGAAGAGAATATCTTTGATGCTTTGGCAACAAAGCATTCATAAATAAACTTGCCATTGCCAATCAGTAAATTATATTAGTAATTGTATATTATAACAATGAGGATCCGTAACGATTTCAGTTGAGAATGCAGATTTATAGAGCTAAGGATTCCATAAATTACAGTGGTAAAATTTTTGTTCTACGGCAAATATTAACGAAGTTATGACCAAATTGCTAAACGAATTTTCGGCGGGCCAGTTGACTATGACGTCACAGAGCTCTAGCGCTCGAGCGCGAAAAAATAAAATTAGTTATAAAATCGCAACGAATGTACCGATTTCGACGATTTAAAAAGTATATTAATTAAAAAGCTTATAAGATCATTATACTATTGATTTTGAGTTGATTTGCTGTCCTAGTAATGATCTTCACTATTAAAAGAAAGGTGATAATATAAATTCTAGGTTTTTGATAAAATATTTATAATAAAGTACCCTGCGTGTAACAAAAAATTGAGGTCTTCCAAATACTGACTACCTACCATAGAAATTTGAACCGTCTCCTTGGTATGGTAGTAGGTAAGTTGAGTATTGGGAGTATGACCTTAGTGTATCGTACCGAGAGTATTGACTGGGATGATGTAGTGAGTTTGTGTGTGTGTGATTGTAATGTATGAAGTGTGAGTGGTTGGGATGCAGGACGGCTGACGTGTGCCCAAGAGTGCGGTGTTGGGCAAGATGCGTCTACCGTCAAGTGTCACCCCTACGTCCACGTTTCGTGCATCCCGGTAATACTCGAATCTTTAACAGGCGCCGCACATAATCAGCACCCCCTGTGATTCGAGTAGCTGAAGGGAGTGATGCTACCTCGTCAGTGTACTCCGACACGACGGGAGATTCCTTATACCCCTCTTCCATGTTCCAAAATATCCCTAAATATTCCCATTTCCTCTATACCTTATCCTTCCAAACTCCCTTCATCCCATTTCCTCTTATACAGGCAACAGGTAGCCTTGGGCAGTTTAATTTGTCTCTAAAATACCTCCCTATCTAAGGTGTAATTCGTACCGTGCCGATGGATGCGTGGCCAAGGGGTCGCTTGGTCTCAAACGGTGTCTCTCCAGTGAGATGGCAATCCTGAAGTAGTAAGTTGCCTTACTCGAGCAAGCGGGGCTCTGTTCGAGTGGACTTTTTAGTACCCTTGCTACTCGTGGGACAACAATGGAACGTTACAATAAATCATTTTATTCTCTGGGCGAAGACTTTCGACCAGATCCAACTGAAGAAGAGGGAGATTCTCCAATCACCTCGGAGTCTGAGTTTGATGCACATGGATTAGTTTCTGGCTCAACGACCGAAACTCTTCCACGGAAACGACGACGTAACTTAACAGGGGCTCACCGAAAACATTTCAGACACCTCAGAGAGCAGGGAATGGAGCCGACTGATGCCTTTAAAATATGCTATGAGCGAATGATGAGATCTCAGGAACCGGAAGATAATCGTAATACTGCAAAACGAGTTCGATCTAATAATGAATCATACCAACAACACGTGAAATCAGAGATTGACGAAAGTTCTACTGCAGGCACGGTTCATACGCGCCACTATGACCCATACGCTGAGATGTTGCCTAGCACATCCACAGGAGGCACCAATAGACGTTTTAAAGAACCCCCTAATGATATTCGCGTACAGATTCGCAACATCGAACCCATGACGAATGACCAGTTGAGGCTAGTTAAACGCGCTATCCTTAGGTCGGTCATTGAAGCCCCAGACAATGAAGTATTTCCAAAATTAGAAGGTTGTATTTTTAAACCAGGATGGTTACTAATCATTCTTGAAGACGAGTACAGTCGTGATTGGCTTTGGCGGAAACTGAGAAATATCAAGCCTTGGCCTGAGGCTGAACTCTCACTCGTATGTGAAAATGAACAGCCAAAGACTAGGGTAGGTATTCTCGAAATCCCCAGATCTGAAGCTGATTCTACAAAAGACGCCCTACGTCTCTTGGAGAAACAAAACCTCCTGAGAACATACATGTGGGAGGTGCTCAATGTTAAGACTGAAAGAGATGTTATCACAGCCACCCTTTCAGTAGACGATGAGTCTATAGAGACCTTGCGCATGCTCGACTTCAGACCGCGTCTTGGATTTATGAGGGTTCTCATCCACATCAGAGGGGAGACTATCCCAACGGATGCAGATGAGGAACGTCCACACTACTCTGGCCACAATGAAAACCGTAGGTCTTGGAGCTCTAGTGACCAACCGAGCGACAGAAGACTTAGTTATCAAAATCGTCTCCCACGTGGACAGTATCAAGAGCCTAGAGCTCGAAATGATCGGCGGTGATAAGATCTATAAGAGAGGTAGGGCATAGCGGTTTATCCGCTTGAATTGGAGCGCCCGTCTGGGGAAGCAACCTCCACCTTACTAAAGACCACAGTAATATAACACTACCTTTTGGTGGCGTTGTGTTTCTGCTGGTGGGTAGGGTTCCAGGGCTCCACGGGGTAGGGGAATGGGGTCAGGCCGGGAAGGTGAGGATGACTGTAGCAGCTCTCCTACCGCATCATCAATCTTGGCAACTGGAGTGCACTTACACTTTAACATCAGGTGGGGTGTGTTAACTTGTTGCGCCTTGTAGATAAAAGCATTAAAGCTACAAGCTATCCCATAACCCCATAGCAGACAAATTACTCAAAACCGTTTTACCTACCCACATAAACATGAAAGACTCATGCACTACTCACCCACGCACTCACACTAATGCCACGGCCTGGTGTAATTTCAACAATACTTACTGGAAACAGACTGCAACAACCAACCAGGTAAGCAACGTACTAAAAAATGCTCATGCCGTAATATGTTACATTACAATATGTTCATTTCAAAAATACTACAAATCTATTTGTTGCAGCATTCGTAAACGACAACAGCAAAAAATTTACTTCCTGCTTGACTCGGCATTTTAGGATCAATCCATCTAAAACGTTGGCGAAAGTGGTCGACTTCCCAAACGACCCCAACGCTGAGCGTACAACACGTTAGCAATTTCAAAGGTGAGTTACCTACTGCAGCATTTGTAAATTTATCCTCGAATAGTTTTATTCTGTTAACGCAGGGCCGGATTTAAGGCAGCCTGCCCTGCCTTAAGGACTGTGGCCCCGGCGCAAATCGTATGCTAAGATTAGGAGCTCCTTCGTTGCCTTAGTTCCCTACATCTCCAAGTCCGGCCCTGTGTTAAACGTCAATATATATCTTTCCTATAATCAGTTTTATTATAGAGAGCCATTACTTTTGGCGCACCCTTTTACAAGAGTTACAATAATGCCCATTCCATAATTTATGAGTAAGTAGTTACTGGACACAGTCCAGTAACTGACTATATTACTAAAGGAGATGGTACAAAAGTGGTAGGCGGTTCCCGGCAGCGGCAAAATATATATCATTTGAACGTTTGCTTAATATTATAACATAAACAAATACTTTTATTTTTTGATGTGTAACATCTTTCCTCTAGCTTTCGTACAATTTGTGGGAGTGAATTCGTGAAATGGGACGGAAGTGTGTAACAACAATTTGATTTTAGAACATAATGTTCAAATGGCTTATTCCTTTTGGAGTAGGTTTTTTTTTTTTTTTTCTGATATAAGGTGAGGTTTCAAATGTTACACATCATAGCGACTACTGTAAGGTTCGCTCGTTTTTTTTATTGATCTTAGATTAATTTTATCGTGTTTAAAAATTTAATAATTTTGTAAGGATGCTGGCCACCCCGTTATTAGTTACGACATAATTTTAATTTGTGGCAGCATATAACGCCAACTCTAGCACTATAGCATTTATGTCAATTAGTCCAGTCATGCATCACATGCGTGAAATCGTGGTGAACCTATTATACCAATTTAAGATTGAAACTTATTGAAATAAAATACCCACAAATTACTTTAATGTAATGAAAGATGAACAGAGTAATTACCACTGCTTGAGTTACTTATTGAAAAGAATATATTTGATGCTTTGACAACAAAAATTACCAACCCATTTTGCTTATCAACAATAATTTCATAATAGCCCTACATCTCATAAAAATTTGAATTCTGGCGGAGACTCATTATTACCCTCCATATGAATTTGAACCGTCTCTTTTGACAATAATAGTAAGTCCTTATCGAGAATGATATTGAGAATATAATAATCGGCCTTCAAACGCTTGCGTCACCAGAATTACCAGAACTGGTAGATTCCAGTGTTCCACGGGGTAGGGGATTAGGTCAGGTCATATATTATGCTTGTTTGCCACCCTCTTAACATTAAAACCCTTCTTGCTTACCCTGATGCTATCCTGTCGAGGTCTGGTACTTTACCCACCGACGGAAACATTAAAATTTCTCGACAGAACGCCATTACACATACATACAAAGGTTGGATCGCCATTACACACACATACAAAGATTGGATCGCCATTACACATACAGGGAAGCGATTAAAATTACAAAACATAAAAACTTCAATCGTGAAGACGGGTTTAAATTGTCGAGTGTCTGGAGTCCTGTGGTTCGTATGTGTAAAAACCAGAAGAATCAAGTGTCGTGTCGCGATCCGATACTTTGAGTGTTGTGTGTCGAGAACAGTTTCGAGTAAATAGTGAAAACCCGCAATTACTTCAGTTACTCCGTGATCGATCATGGCGCATGCAACATGGTAAAATGTCCCCCCCCCCCCCCCTGTAACTTCTAAAATAAGAGAATGATCAAACTAAAAAAATATATGATGTACATTACCATGCCGACTTCCACACTTCTTCCGTAGTTTTTTTTAATACGTCATAAATCGTAAACCGCTATTTACCAGCATTCATTCAATCAAATCAAATAAAAAAAAACATTTAATTTCATAAACATAAACGATATACATAAACCGTGAACCATTATTGTCTAATAATAAATCTGTAATAGGTGCTTATGTAAATAATAATTATAATTCGCGCGGGGCGTGGCTTGATCGGTAGCGGGTGCAGAGCGTGCGGGGGGCAGGTTATATATTATGTTACCCTTCATGGGCGAGTCCGACTAGCATTTGGCCGCTTTTTTTTAAAATTTGATATTGCACACATGAAGAACAATTTGGTATTTTCTGTGCTCAGACTTAACTTTCGCGACTTGAGTCAGTCTAGTGAAATATCCAAGGACAACTAGTTTTATTACGTGAGCTGGCTCAATAGCGGGGGGAAATCGACAGAGGGGATCGCTGTGAATGCCTACCCTCTTCCTGGCCCCGTCAGCTGTATTGCGCTATGTAGGCGGTAGATGGATTAAACGCACTAAATTATAAATACCCGTTTCTATTAAAGAATTTTAGCAAGTTTATTTGGATGAAAATCTTCTTTCCCTTGCTGTACAGAATTAATAAAACAGTTTATTTTGAGGAGTTTTTGGCGGGATTTCAACGAGTGCAGTTGGCTATTCCGGTCAAGTGGACGTGAGAACTTTATCATAGTGTTGACTACCTCACAGAAGCTTATCCACACCCACATTCTAATGTAAAAAAAGGACAGTGAAGTTGCAGATTAGGCTGTATGGGCATTGTTCCCTTTGCCTTTTCTGAAATGAGGACGTTAAAAAAAACCTCGACATTTGACATTTCTTTTGACAATGTAATTTGTTATTTGTGTGGTTTTCCTCACATTTTGTTTTTTTTTCTTTATTTTATTCATTTGTTTTTTTAATTATGAATTAACATCGCAATAGCATTATTGTGAAAACTTATAATTAATGATTCCTCAATAACATAAAGCACAAAATACTTTCAAGGTAATTGTTACAAAAGATGTGTTAAATCTTCACTAAATTAAAAGTTACTTAGTAAATCCTAAAAAAAGCTGAAATTTTCTTGTTTAACAGTGGCTGTGATAGCTCATAATTTCGTACCATGGAATCTATCGTGATAGATGATGAACACGAAATCATAAATTTGACAGAAAATGATATTATTAATTTAGATGATGAACAAACTGATGATATAGAATTAATTGAGACACCCAATAATGGTTACAAATACCGTTTTGATGAGATCCACAAAGAAGATCCAGAGTTTGGTGACTTCATTGAAAAATGTTTAGGTGTGGACAATTCAACCGGAATGTTAAGAGTTATTAATAGAATTTTAGTGCCACTTTACTATGAAAATGGACGTATCTTTAAAAGTACATGGGATGCGAAAATTTTTAATAGAGCTCTCACCAAAGCGATGAAAAATATTGAAATGGATCCAAACCATACGTATTCTCATATCAAAGAATTTTGTGATGTACTTAAATCTTTAAAAAGAAAGAGAAAAGTTCCATTTACTACACTATCAAAGGCTGTAAAAGGTAAACTTTAGAACAATATTCATAAATAATGCTGTCAAGTTAGCATTTTGTTTTTTTAAGTACTTTTTTATTTTCCCCACCTGACGTTAAGTGTAAGTGAAATCTAGTTGTAATGATACCTGGAGTAGCAGAAAAGTGTGTCACTCCTGCCATTCAGTGCTGGTTTTACACCCAATCCCCTATGAATTCAGAGGCCCAAGAACTTTGACAGATTGTAATTGTATTGTCATCATCAATTGCATGAAAGGGACCAGTGTGTTCAGACATCAGGTAGAAGCGCTGCATAGTTTTAATAGAAACTTTGATGATGCAATACAAGCACAAGTGCCAATAATAATGTTATATATTTAAGGTTAATTATGTATAAGTATGTTTGTATGACAACCATATTGTTTGTGCATTTCTTTATTCAAACACTCTCTTTGTGTCTTTATTGCGCCACCTTGATATTTTGCTTTCTCACACTTCACTTGGTCCACTGGTAGAGAATTCCTTATGGCATTAAGTCCACCATTTGCAGATTTTTGCAACAAAGTATAAATATATAAATAAATTGTAATTTAATAATTAAATTGAAAATCACATTTTATTTTCAGTTCACAAAAAGAATAAATTAAAAATAGTTGGTAATGTCATACATCTAGATGACGATGATGAGGTTCCTATTAATACTGCAGTTACTAATTCTAACATTGTGACAGTCCCTGAAAAGGAGAATGCCAGTGGTAATGTTAACACCAATAATAAAGAAACAGATATAACTACAGAAGAACAGTATATTGAAATAGATCTCTCAACTTCAATATGTGATTCAGAACATCTTACCAATAAGGTTGTACAAAATAACCATAATAATCTGGAAGATGTAAGCAGTAGTACTGAAGTTGTACCACAAATTGATCTTGTAGACTCCGAAACAGTTGCTAACAATTGTCAGGAAGATGAAATTAGTGTCAGTACTATAAGTAGTAGCACAACACATTTGCAAGATAACATTGATGGTTCAGATAATCTATTTGTAAGAAGGCCAAATGTACAAGATATTTACTACGAGACTGAAATAGCTATGATTGAAAGAACTATTGCAACATACAAGAAAAAGGTAGATGCATACAGTGTGCAAGAGGTAACAGAGGACAATGATAAATCACCATATCTTCAGTGCGAATTGTAAGACTTCATTATATTATTATATTCACAAAGATCTTTTTTATCCATTAACAATTTTAACACTGCTTGTAAGCCTCAAGAGTATAAAAGAGTAGAAATGTAATATGTTACAAACTAATAATGCAATTCTTTGTTTATTCTTTTCAAAACACAGACAAATTCTCATTAATTAATAAAACTTGGTTAAATTTTATTGTTCATTTGCTACAGGCTGTGCTACATGTTTGAGTAAAAGTATAAAGGGCATCAAACTCAAGAAATCAGCTTGCCTCTTGTTACGAACTGGCCAGTATGCCATGAGATATTTTATAAGACAATTTTATATTGACTTTTGTTTATCTTTGGTTTGCTTGCCTTTTTTTGCTGTTGTGGACGACCTCCGTGGCCGAGTGGTTTGTACGCCGGGTTTCATGGTGTCGCCGACTCAAGAGGTCCCGGGTTCCAATCCCGATGGGGGCAGATGTTTGTATGATGAATACAAGCATTTGTACTCCAGTCATGGATGTTTAATATGTATTTCTATATAAATATACTTATATTTGTACAGTATATGTATTCTATCCGTTACCCTAGCATCCCATAACACAAGCCTTACAGTGCTTACTTTGGGGCTAGGCTAATTGGTGTGTGTTATAAAAAAAAAAAACTCCCTCGAAGGCAGTTAAGTTGCCAATACCTGTATGGATCTCTCCTTCCTCCTCCTCTTTGTCTCTCTCACACTTATTTTCCCAGTTTTATTATTATAGTTTAACAAGGAATCCTCAGTATTACCTCTATATACCTATCTAATATGGACTTGCACAACAGTGTGCTGAAAAGTGTTATCTATGACCTTTTGGATTAAAATATTGGCATTGATGACATGTTTAGTTACTTCAATATATTTTTAACTAAAAACCGTATAATAACTAAAATACATTATTAAAAGGAAAAGGCAATACTGGCAGCATTCCCCCTTTGAATAGCTAGACTAATTCTTTGTCCGAGGTAGCTGCCAGCTCTTCCGTCTTCTGTGATTTCGACTAACCTTTTTGCTATTTCCTTAAAAAGCCTTACAGCGCTAGGACCCCACGGACCGAGGGTCACGACACCGAACGGGACAAAATCATAATCGGATCCTAGACCCCTGTATTTGCATGCCTTAGCTTTTTTAGCCGCTTCGCAAGCCGCGCTAGCTCTGTTGTTGGTTCCATGTAGTTAGGAAGAGGCCAGCGTGTCTGACCAGGTTGCATCCCATACTAGCACCCGGCCCATCTTCCATGAAATGAAACTCATACTCTTTATATACTCAAGTCTCTTGCAATACCAGTCGGGTCAAGTAGACTTGGCACGTTGACGGTGGAAAGGGACCGGCGTATGATATCTTTAATTGCGCCATGTCGCTCGACATCACTGCCACAGGGATATGAAATGTCTAATAATTATTATATTTAAAGATTTCAGACAAAAATTGTTCAGCTTTACAAAAGACTGTGCCAAATCACTGGATCAGCAGCAGTGAAACGTCGGACAGTGCGGCTTCGTGCAATCGACTCGAGACCAGAACTGCCAATCAAAAAGTTAGAAGAACTCATTAATAAAAATATTGGACCAGATGGTTTACCACATTTCCCAGATTTCGAAGAAGTGGTTGAATGTGTCACAGATGCCAACTTTGAAGATAACTTGGGCTGGGACAATAAAAAAATCATGACTGAATGTAAGTTTTAACTTTGCATATAAATAAATATTTCCAACACTCACACCAATTAGCCTAGCCCCAAAACACTGTAGGCTTTTGTTATGAGATGCTAGGGTAACAGATAGAATACATATACTGTTACATATATAAGTATATTAATATAGAAAATACTTATTAAACATCCATGACTGGAGTGTAAATGCTCGTATTCATCACACAAACATCTACCCCCACCGGGATTTGAACCCGGGACCTCTCGAGTTGGCGACATCATGAAACCTGGCGTACATACCACTCGGCCACGGAGATCATCAATATATTAAAATTCAAAAAAAAACAAAATTCAATAATGTTTATTCAGTCTAGGCCCTAGGCTGTTAGAAGCACTTGAAAATGTCGAAAAGCTACGCCATCGGTTCGCAAATCTACGGCGGGAGACCTTGTACTGAGAAGAACCAGCAAGAAACAACAACAAACAAGGACTGTTGTTTTCTTCCTGTTTTATTTTATACAGTGTCGTCCAATTAAAAGTTGACATCAAACTTGCAAACATGTGTTGAGGTCAACTTCCATCACATAATGTCAAGTATGTAACAATAGACAATCAACAAATTTACAAAAAATAAGTGTAAAGAAAAGTCCCAAAATAGCAAGAAACAATCTTCAAAACAAATTGAACAAGTATGTGAAAGGGAGTAAGTGCAAGGTTCTTTTCATAACTCCTTTCTAAAGCCCCCAGTTTTAATATAACTTTTGAAAAATTAACTACAGGTAAAACTACAACCCGGCCGTTTTATCATTCAAATTAATATTGATTTACAGTATAATATCCTTTCTTAAGTAAGCAACTCTTAATGTGTAATTTTAATTTATGAAAAGGCAATCAAGAATATCATTAGGAATCTCATTATAGAAATGTACACCTTGATCTATAAATGATTTATGAACCTTCTGTAACCTGTAAGTTGGTATGTTGAGTTTATTTTTATAACTTGTATTAAAAGAATGTGTCACTGTGTTTGAGATAATAGTAAATATTGCTTCGAACAAAAAGTATACAATTATAAATGAATTGTGAATAACAGTCAAAATCCCAATTTCTTTAAATTTTTCTCTAAGAGATGTTCTACAACTAAGTTGATAAATAGCCCTTATAGCTCTTTTTTGCAAGATAAATACAGTTTCAATATCGGCTGCTGTTACCCAGAGAATAATACCATAGGGTACAATACTATGAAAGTAACTAAACTATACAGTTCTAGCAGTAGCTACATCAGTAAGTTGTCTTATTTTACGTATGGCATAGGCTGCTGAACTAAGTTTACCAGCTAGCAGAGAAATATGAGGATACCATTGCAATTTTGAGTCTATGAATGAATGAATGAATGAATGAATATATTCTTTATTGCACTATTACACACAATACAGAGAACATAAAACACAGAAACAAAAACACAAAAGGCGGCCTTATTGCTAAGGTAGCAATCTCTACCAGGCAACCTTTGGCTAAATGAAACCATACCATAAGAATAGTGGAATCAGCGGGCTAGTGCATTGTAAAAATAAATAAATAAACATAAATATAGTAATATACAATATAGTAAGTATGTAAGGAAGCTATAAAATACAATAAATAGTAATAAACAGATAAAAAGATCAGGCAGAGTCCAGCTTGAGGAAATATTCCTTAATTTTAATAGTAAAGGAGTCCCTCGTCTGTGCACGTTTAATATCCAAAGGCAAAGCGTTCCACAGTTTAACAGCTCTTACATAAAATGACTTGGCCACGAAATCAGTGGAGTGGGGTGGGATAACTAAGGATAAGTTATGAGAAGACCGAAGATCACGGACAGGATTAAAAGAGTGAAATGCGAAACGCTCCTTAAGATAGAGAGGAGTGTGCGGATGAAAGAGGATAGAATAAAGGAGTGTTAGGATGTGACAGTCTCTTCTACGAGAAATGGGTAGCCATTGAAGTTGGGAACGATAATGAGAAATATGGTCGTACTTACGTAGACCGAAAATGAATCGAATGCATAAATTCTGCAGACGCTCGAGTTTATTAAGAAGAACAACACTAAGGTCAGAGTAACACGCATCGGCATAGTCAAGCAACGGAAGAAGAAGGGACTGTGCAAGAGAAATTTTAGTCTTGGTCGGCAACATGTTTTTCAGGCGTTTCAGCGAGCCATACGCGCCAAATACCCTCCTACTAACTTCACCGACATGGTGGCTCCAAGACAAGTTATTGTCGAACAACACGCCAAGATTTTTTACAGTGTCCTGAAGTGGTATAGGGATGCCGTTTAACAGGATCGGTGGCAAAGCGCTTTTATTAATTCGAGCATTATACCAATGGCTTCCAATAATTATAGCCTGAGTTTTGCGCGGGTTAACCAACAGACCGTGTCGCCGACTCCAGTCATATATGTGTTCCAGGTCGTTGTTGGTAACTGCGATGGCTGTAGGAAGTTCATCGAAAGAAGTTTGTGTATATATTTGGAGATCGTCTGCATACATATGATAGGAAGAAGAGAGAGGAAGAGTTATTGAATTTATGAAAATAGAAAAGAGAAGAGGAGACATAACGCCACCCTGCGGTACGCCGGCTGTTGTGTCGCACCATGATGAAAAATATCCATCCACACATATGCGCTGCCGTCTCCCATGCAGGTAACTATGAAACCAAGCAATCACTGGTGGAGATACATTGAGAGAAACCAACATTGCCAATAAAATATCAAAATCAACCATATTAAATGCGTTACTAAAATCTAACAGCGTTAATACAGTGAGCTGCCGATTTTCCATACCCACACGTATATCATCTGCGATCTTGACAAGTGCAGTAGTCGTACTATGACCGGGACGGAAACCAGATTGAAATGGATTTAGAAGATTGTTCATGGAAAGGAATCTACTTAACTGTTGATGGACTAATTTTTCGAGGACTTTGGAAAGGAAAGGCAATATTGAAATAGGGCGATAATCATTGAAGGAATCAGGCTTGGATTTCTTAGGTATGGGAATAATATTAGCTTCTTTCCATGCTGAAGGATAAACAGATGACGAAATGGATTTATTAAGGATTTTAGTAATTACAGGAGTGAGGATATCTAGAAGAGGAATGATCATATTACGACTAATGCAGTCGCTACCCACGGCATTGGACGATACAGCAATGATGTTCCTCTCAACGTCACACTCAGTAAATTGCTTTATGATAAAAGGAGTAAAAGATGGTGTTGGCGACGAAGAAAGCGTATTCAAAGTATGACTTTTGATTATTCCATCCATGGACGCAGTTAAGGAAAAGTGA